GTCGCGTGACTTCCGCTGTCGTAACACTGCCCCTTCTTTAGTATTGTTCGTCCTGAACAATAGCCATTTACTTTAAACCAATAGATAATTAACAATAACTTAATTAAATGTACAGAATTTACAAACACAAAATTAAAATACAACAAAGTCTCCTAATTTTACAGGACGTATCTTCTTCCGTACTGGTCTCCATCTCATTGCCTTCTGCTTCACGTGGGGTTCATCTGCTCCATCAGGAAATGTTCCATTATCGGTAGCAGTCACATTAGCGGTAGTAACTTCATTAACGGCTTCACTGTTTTCCTTCTCAAAATCGGGTAAAGTTTCTTCTTCGACAGTGGCTTTTTCAGGTGACACGTCTTCAGCAACATCATTTGTTCCATTGTTCACTTCGTTCCAACTGAAATGTCCTGCACCATGATAATGCTAAAGCCTGTTGGCATGCACCACCTTTAGCTTACCTCGCCGACCACATTTTATTCAGAAAGTCACGTCTGAGAGACGATCCACTATGTCATATGGGCCTTCCCATGGAGAAAACAACTTAAGAGACTTCTCTTTGGTCTTCCTGGGATTATACAACCATACCTTGTCTCCTGGTACAAAGCTGACTTCAGTAGATCTCTTATCATAACATAGCTTCATGGAATCAGCAGACGTTTTCAAGTTTGTACGCACTTGATGGTGAATATCATTCATCCTTTCAGATGACACTTTCACGAACTCTGGTACATTTTCAGGCAACTCTTCGTAAGGTGGGAATCCTGTTATCAGGTCCACTGGCAACCGAAGTTCCCGACCAGCAATGTCAATGGCTACTTTTTCCATTGGTGCACCAACTTGATATAACTTCATTGGAGCACGTCCTTTATGCTTGGGTCCCCTTTTAGCACACCATGTACTGCAGGTCCTGCACCATTTTTCCACATCTTGCCTCATACCTATCCAGTAAAATCTCTGCCGTAGGTGACTCAATGTCTTATTAACTCCGAGATGTCCTCCTGTTAAACTATCATGGGATTGACGCAGCACAACTTCCCGTAACTTTCTCGGTATAACCGTTTGTCAGGTCGCCACTTTTCCATCTCCGGACAAGAATACCATCTTCAAGCTTCAACTAGTCCCATTGTGCCCAATAGTTCTTTGTCACAGGGCTTAAGCTAGACACCTTCTCCCAAGCAGGGTGCAAAACACTAGCTTTTAGAGAAGCAATTATTTGCTTCAAATCTTGGTCCTTCTCCTGTTCTGCTTTAATATCTATACTTGGTTCTACTTCACCATCACCAACCCCTTCGGTCACTTTGACTTCAACTTGATGGCACCTGGTTAGTCCAACCACTCTTTTAACACTTACTGGAATTTGGCCTTTGTTGTTCCCAAACGTCATTTTATCGAAGACACTTTATCCTCGTCGGTAGTAAATAGTCCAACCCTAGTATGCATTGGTCTTCAATGTCAGCCAAGTATACTTTGTATCTGTCCTACATGCCCATGAGCTCAATAGTTACCCACACTGGTCCCCACAACCTTGCATAATATCCTGTCACACCACAGAGCTTCTGTATGGCTTCTGGTAATCCTTTGTGACCTAGCACCTTGATACTCACAAGAATCTGCTGAGATTCAGAATCTATGACAAAGTTGCACATTTAGCCATCCAGCTTTCCTGTCACGTAGACACCATGTGTGCTTGCCATTTTACACTTAGCTGTTGGGACTTTCACGATGGGGGTTGGTGGGTGTTCCTCAACACC